CTCCAAAAATTTTCACTGCACTGCGAATAATTTAACTTACTGAGTTTCACATATTTTGTATTATTATAAAAATTATCAATATTTTGTAGAATACTGCAAAATGCAATTTAATAAATTCATGCGTCCCGAATTACAAATGAATTTCTCTTTCCATAAAGTTTTCCTCTTGACTTTATGATTATGAATAATTCCTCTTTGTTAAATGATTCTTTGTCAACCGTCTACAAAATAACTGCAAAAATTTTGATTTTAACAAAAAGATAATTTTTTTTTTAATTTTTATTATTCTGGGAAGAAAATTAAGGTTACCGTACTTAAAAGTTAAAATCCAACTTTATTACCAACTTCTAATTAACGTTATTATGTTTTGTTTTATGTGCTTTTCTCTCTTTTGTAAGAATACAAAAACAACATGATGTTTAACGATGATTTAATAAATTTTCTCCCCCTTTAATTCAAGAAAAAGAAATAATATTCACTCATTTTTGAATCGTTGATCGCATCGCCTCTCTTGCGTCTCATCGCATTTTGATAATAATTTTAAATTATCAAGTTTATCAGTCATTAAATACTCTGGAGCGAGCATTCAATTAAAACAACAACATTGAAACAAAAAAAAATTAAATAATAAAAGGCAAAAGGAAAAAAAATCATTTTTTCCCTTTCATTTCATCAAAAAAATTGAAGAATTTTCCATTTTACATTGAAAATTTGGGGAAAAAATTTATGATAAATTTTTATAACCAAAAGAAAATTATAAAAGTTTTTTTTTTCTTTGTTTTATAAAAATGAAGCAAAGAAATGTTTTTTTGCTTCCTTATTGTGTTCATTTTTAAGAAAAATTATGAAATTATTTAATAACCTAATTTACAAGCAAGCTGAAAGCGTTTTATTCTTAATTCTCCCACTATTAAGGATCAATTACAAATTTATTGAAATCATTTAACAAGTATTGGAGACGACGAAGCTAATATTTGAAAACAATTATTATTTCAAGAAGAAATTTTTTGAAAAAGTGAGTCTTGTTTTCAATATTTTAATACTCAGTTCTAAATACTGGACAAGATAAAGTTTAAAGATGAACTCCAAGTACCTTTAAAATTTTTTATATAACATGTTTGCTAAAATATACCTTAATATGGAAAATAACTCTAAATCATCTGAAAGTTTAGAAATGAAAGATTTATTTATTAATGTTTGTAAATCCAGGAAATAATATATAAAACATCAGCTTGTGAAACACACATTGTACACATTTATGATGTTGTATTACAACTTTATATTATTTATTGATAATTGTTCTGTTATACTTAATTATAATAGGATTCAATGACTCAAATTATAAATCAAATTCTTATAGCAATCACATTATGAAAAAATTAAATACTATCACAATACCTACTTGCTGGATATTCTTCAGAAGTTAAAAGAAATCCATGCTTCTGAATTTAGAAAAAGTATTGCAATTTTTAAAATAAATAACATTCTACCAAAATTGCGTTCATGCTAGAAATTCACTTTCTGTATTCTTGGAAGGTTTACAGAATATTAAATTCCGTTAATTAACCCCCTAAACATATAATAACAGAAATCTCCAAGGAATCATAGTCACATTTAATTATGTACGTGAGATTTAGTTGGCAAATACAGGCAAATTGGAGTTAAAGTTATAAGAGCCTTTAAAAATTATATTATTCAATTCAAACTTGTCTGTGCATATCCTTTATCATATGACTCAACTTCTAATATATTATAAATATTTTGATTTCCCTTGTTTTTATCTTGTTGCGCAGAATTATCTTCCTATTTATTCTGTAGAGGTATGCCCATTTTGATGTTTTAGGAAAAAAACTTATTATTATAAACAGCTTCTACAAGAACCCATTCCAAACAATAAAAGATTTTTTAACATCAAAGTTGAAAATAAAGTACGTTTAGATTTACTATACACTTTTCTAAATTTTTTCTAAGGCTTTTTCTACTAATTTCTTTTCTAAATTATTGTTGCCTTTGTCTCAAGTTTATCTTATGAATATACAAATATAAATTTTTTCTTCCTCTTTTTATTTTATTAATTTAAGAACTTTTTTATTTATATTTTATTTGTTTAACGCTTTTCTCTTTTATATATTTGTATATGTGTGCCAATGCTCCAGGAAAAAATTTAATGCTCTAAATTTTAACTTTTCATTTTCCATTATGTTTTTTTTTGTTTGTATATTTTTTATTTCGGTCTTACTACAGAACGTTCCATGGTTCTGTAGCAAAATTGTACTTCTACTGATCAGAATATTATGGTGGTGACGAGACGCAGAATGATAATATGGTGTTGTGGTGTTATATACACAATAAAACAAATGTGGACGAGTAAATAAGCAAAAGAACGCAACAAAGCATATTGTTCAACAAATTAAATAATTTAAGTCAGACATCTAGAAAATCTCTCTGATTAAAAACAAAAGGAAAAAAAAAACAAATTTTAGGTGAAGAATTTTGTACAGAGAATAATAAAAAAGAAAAAGATGGTGGGAAATGAAAGGAATGTGGGGATTTTCTCTGTTTGTGTTTTATATTTAATGCGTAAAAATGGAAGATGGTAAAAGAAAAGGATATAAGGATAAATAATTTAGTAATGAATCAAGTCGACTGAAATTCTTTTTTCTTTTCACTTTTCAATTTAGTTTCTAATCGTAATCTTCCGAACTAAAAAACAATAATTTTCAATCAAAAAAATTTCATTATTTTATTATTTCATTCAAATTGAAAATTATTTCCCTCTTTTTTCTTAAGATTCCATAATAAGCATAACAAATTGATATAGAAAATGCAGTAAAAGAACAAAATTTTTAATTTTTATTTTTCATTTGTTTATACAAAATTCAACATAATCTATAAACATAATGAAAATATCTGGAAAAAGCACTTCTAAACAACATAAGAACTTTCGGACGTATAAAAAATTAAAAAATTAATTTTTTATCTAAATCTCTTAACTTGAGCTAAACGTTTAAAAAGATTATTGAGAAAGAATAAAGTTGAGTCAAACCAATGGTTTGTAGCACTTTTCCCTTCAACAAGTGAAAATACTCGATGTATACCTACCACACTATTAAAATTATTTTCATTCATATTCGAAACTATTTCTAGGATTGCATATATTTAAAGCAAAAATTAATTTAAGGAGGGGTTAACATAATGCTTGATTTTAAGGGTTAATTTTATGAATTCAGAAAAATAACTATATTTTTATAATTAATGGCATAGAACTTACCGTTACCTATCTGCGTCTATAGAAATTTGGAAAAGCTTGCGGTTTTGCTAATATAAGGTGCCAAATATTCAAATTTTACAAATTTTGTGAGGTGATAACTTGAGAGGGGGCGGAGAATTCAGACTTTTAAAACCTGGAGTTTAGGAGAAAAACGACAACAAAAATTAGGAAAAAAACGCATTTTATATAACGGTAAATTTTAAGGACCATTTTGGTTTTTTAAAGTTCAAATATAGTATGCCGTGATGATAGAAGAAGCAACCCACAGTTTTTCTGCCTTTGCAAAATTTGAAAAATTTATATGGTTTTACTATAATAAATGGTTGAAAAACGGTATTTTTAGGGATTTGTGAGGGTATAACTTTTAGGAGAGGGAGATAGGTAAAAATGCGTTATTCTACGAAAATAAGTTTCTAGTAAAGATCTATGCGTACATATAAAATTTCAGGTTTCTGTCTTCGAGGGTATAGAAGTTTTGTAAACAGACACACGGTCAGACGGACGGATGGACGGACACAGTGAAACTAATAAGCACTTTTTTTAAAAATTTTTTTAGAAAAGTGTTAAAAACAAACGATAATTAACATCTTATTTTCAGGCCCTCTGAATATTTTCACAACTTCGTTTACCTTAATATAAGTGAGAAAATTTCACTATTAAATAAAAATTTAATAAAATATTTTGGTTGCAAGTTACAACATAAAATTTTTAAACCAATTTTTTATTATGTCCATTAAATATGATCAAAAAATCTATAAATCATAAACCTCTCTAAAGTTTTATATATGATCACTTTACTAAAAAATTTACACAGTACAAATCCTGAAAACAATTCCAGTTTGCATTCGATTGATGGTTATAGGTATTGTGGCAAAATTATTAAAGTCTCAACTTCATTTTTTAAATAATTTTAGTGAATTCCTTTGAAATTTCATGTCTTTATCGTCATTGACTTAAAAGTAAACTTCTAAATGATTTAGTTTTTCCCTTATAGTTTGGAATAATTTTACAATTAAATAAATTATGCTATTATAATTAAAATCAACCCAATTTATTAATTGGATTGCACGAAATGAATTCTGGAAATTTTGCTCAGAGGTAAATGTTATTAATTTATTTTCCTTCATTCACGTTGGTTTTAATTTGACAAATAACAATTTTCCTAAATTCATAATTTGCCTAAATACAAAATTTATAGAAACTGATTTAACATGTTGTGGTCATTTTCTATTAAAATTACTAACATTATTAATATTTTCGATATTATTTAATAGCAAAAATCAATTATTTCGAAAATAAAGTTATTTCCTTCCTTTTTGAGAAAATAATCGAAAAAAGGCAAATTAAGCATAAATCGTTTATTTTTTTTATTTTTTGTTTTCTGTACTCAAACAGATTTTGTTTTCAGAAAACTTTGTGAATAATAAGACTTTCGACACAACCAATAAATTAGGGACCAATTTCAATTTTGTCAAATTTCTTTTTCCTCTTATTCATACCAAACATGTTATTATGCGTACTTTTCAGTACAGAGCCTTAAAAATTCTGTTGAAGAAAGCGTCTATATGTTATAACTTAATCAATCAAAATCATGATTTCATTATCACGTTTTTTCTTTGTTGTTGTTTCTCTTACAATGATCAAAATTTCAACTATGAATCCTTGTTTCACATTAATGCTTCAATATTCTTTTTTTTTTTTTTTTTCTCAATATTCTTTTCCTTTTTAGGTAATTGATTGGGGAGTAGAACAATGTCAATCAACGCATGTTTATATTCAAACACCGCCCCATCTGATTGTTGATCCAGCTAGTATAACTGTGTATCGAGGTGATTCATTGAATGTACGTTGCCTGTCACCAGCACATAACTATAATAATCACCGTCATCATGGAAGTCTTGGATATAGTTGGACACGTAATGGTGTCCTATTTCAATCAGATCCCAGTACATCAATGTGGGAAGATTTATATCCAGATGGTAGTATATTAAAAATAAAAAATATTCAGGTGAGTCTTTATTAAAGCATACACACATTTATCAGTATCTTCTGTATAAGGTTATTAAATAAGAAATTAATGAAAGAAAACTAAGTAAAAGCTAAATTATGTTAACACATAAGAAAAAATTGTTAAATTAAAAATATATAATTAAAATTTTTTATTAAACATTATAAACCTAAAAAAAATACATTGTAATCTTAAGCAATGGATTGGAAAATAACGAAATTGTTTAGAATATAGAGAAAAAACATTATAACGCGAAAAAATTAGAGATAGAGTAGAATGTTGTTTAGTATACTAAAAACTTTCTGTTCGTAAAGAAACTGACACGTGCAAAGCGAGCACTAAATCTTGTATTTATAAATAACATCACCCTCATTGGAGAACCTTCAAAGGAATCAATTGAAATTTTCGATTTTTTTATATTCATTTTTAATAATCTTTCAAGGACATTTCTCAAATTGAATTTTAATGTTTCGAAATGTAATTTTGTTTTTTTCATTTCACTTTGTTGCAAATTGAACAATTCTAAGAACATACACATGTACATGTGCACATGCAGACATATTATTTTTTTACATTTATACATTAATATAAAAGTTTAATATAAACTCGAAAGAAATAAATAAATGAAAAAAAAGACATTCAATTTCTGGAACTTTCAATTTTTGTCAAATTAAAAATGAAAATCATAAATCATTTTTTCATCAATTTCTCGATAAATTGAAGCCTGAATAATTTCTTTTTTTTGGAAAGTTATTTATAGGCGTTATTGCAGAATTTTAAAATGTTAAATTAATAGTTAATAATAAAGAAATTAAAGATGAAGAAAAAATTTTTTAAATTAATTTTTAATTTCAATGGTCCAAATTGTGATGATAATTTTTATTTTTTCAATTATTTTCTTTAATTTCCTTGGACTCCTTAATTTTAGTAACACTTTATTTTATTTTTCTATTTCAGAAATCTGCTGAATACATGTGTATTGTTTCGAATAGTGTTTCACCAGTTTCCAAAAGTGTTTATATAACAGTTATAGATAAAGGTGTTATACAAATGTGTCCTACGGAGCAACGTTATAATATTAATTGGCAATCAGCTGCACCTGGAGCTGAAATTATTGGAGAATGCCCACCAAACTATGAAGGATATTCTAAAAGAATATGCGAACAAAGATCTGTATCGAACTCAACATGGTTGCAACCAGATTTCTCTAATTGTATACCAAATCAATTAAGTAAACTTTTAACTGAGGTAAAGTATAATTAAAGACAAGCAGTATAAATAGCATTTTTTAAATTTATCAGAATCATTAAAAACACTGATATGCTGCAATTATTTCATTTTATAAAATTATTTTAAGCTTTGCTTTCAAAATTTTTTGAAGTCAATTTCATTGATATACTTCAATTCTAAACACAAAAATTAATAAAATATTATTTGTAAATATTATTTTTTAATTTTTCAAAATAATAAAGCAAAAAATAGTTTTATTTGAAAGAAAAGTAAAACAAGTAAAAACGTTTCAGTCGGTATGAACCGATTGAATTATACCCTGCACCTTTCGTTGTTGTATAGCAATTACTCAAACCTGTGAAACCATTCTATAGAAACTTCACGGATATGTCTGATCTATAACTGAACACACAAGTTTCGTGAATCTGACTTTATTATTTTTCCAAATATTTAAAATTAGTTTTTGGACTTGTATGGGAGCCACTCGAATCTGTCAAGCAATTCCACCAAAACTTCAGAAATATCTTTGACCTATAATTGGACACACAACTGCCAAGTTTCATGAATCTGTCTTTATTATTTTTCCAAATATTTAAAATTAGCTTTTGGAGTTGTATGGCAGGTACCCGAACCTGCCAAGCAATTCCACTAAAACTTCGCTAATATATCTGATCTATAATTGGACACACAACTGCCAAGTTTCAAGAATCTAACTTTATTACTTTTCCAAATATTTAAAATAAGCTTTTGGACTTGTATGGGAGCCACTCGAACCTGTCAAGCAATTCCACCAAAACTACAGAAATATCTTTGACCTATAATTGGACACACAACTGCCAAGTTTCATGAATCTGACTTTATTATTTTTCCAAATATTTAAAATAAGCTTTTGGACTTGTATGAGAGCTGCTCGAACCTGTCAAGCAATTCCACCAAAACTTCAGAAATATCTTTGACCTATAATTGGACACACGACTGCCAAGTTTCATGAATCTGACTTTATTATTTTGCCGAATATAAAAAATTTACTTTTGGAGTTGTATGGCAGCCACCCGAACCCGTGCAGCTATCTCATTAAAATTTTTAGAGCATAAGTAGAATATAATTGGACACATGTATACAAAATTCTATATTTGTACCTTTATTAGTTTTTGAAATAATTAAAATAAACTCTTTGAGTTGTATGGCAGCTACCCGAACCCGTTGTCCGAATTGGTCCAATAACAATAGGGTTCGTCCTTGGCACAAAAGAAACAACTTGTGAAAGTTTGGTGTCGATTGCAATATTCGTTTTTGAGTTATCGTGCGATCGGACGGACGGACGGACGGACGGACGGACATGTCTAAATCAACGCAGAATTTTACGCTGATCAGGAATATATATATATGTCCATACCGCAGATGACTCCTTCAAGTAGTTACAAACTCCATACCAAAGTTAATATACCCTTCACGAAGTGCAGGGTATAAAAAAAGAAGTGCTTGAACAAATTTCAATTGAGCTTTTAACGTAAGGGGTACACCTCCATAGATTGATGCTGAAATGAATTATTTTGAACCCTTTGAAATTTTTATGATATACTCGTATGTAGCATGTTTATAATATAATATAATTATGTTTCATAAACATAAACGATTTGAAATAAGTATATTGTTATACAGAATATTTAGTCTTTAATGGCTTAATATATTTAATGAACTATAAAAAAATATACAAGGAAGAGCTTATCACAATTCTAAAAGACATACATTTATGTATCTGCTTAGTAAAATAAATTACGTATGCACTACATGTATGTATACATGTTAGATTATTATTGATCCAATTTAATATTCTACTGTCTCCAAAATATAATACTTTATTTTTAAACTTCCGGAAAACATAAATTTTTATCAATTTTATATATTTTTTATGCTTGTCCAAATTACTATTCTATAATATACTATTATACTTATACATGACTCATTCTTTAGCTTGTAATTTATTTTGTTAAAAAAACTTTTAAAAATCTTTAAAAACAAGTCCTTTAAAGTAGAAGCACACACATGTGTTCATTCAAAACAATACGAAAATTTCAACATTTTGTTTTTATTTCTCAAAATCTCATCCTATTTTTAATGGATTACAATATCCTTTAATATGTTTGGGTTTGTGCTTTTCTTTATGTTGCCTAGTTTTCATGTTTACCGTTTTTTTTATTTTTTACTAAATATTATTTATATTTTTTGCCTATTTAACAGAATATTAACATAAAAAGTGTCACCTTTTATTCCATTTCATTCATTGTTATTTAAATTTATTAAAATTTTAGTATTCTAATGTGCCACCATTATGTGGGACCCATACATGTAAAAACTACTTCATATTCTAAAATTTACTAATATTCTTATCTGCTTTTCTCTTAAAATATTGATTCTTTAGTTTCGAGCTTTAACATTAGGCTATCAGAAAACAAATTGTTCAACAATTTTGAAATCGTGCTTAGAATTCACAATCAGAAGACATACAGATTTTTATCCAGGTGAAGCAAGTAGCTTAATGGATTTGTTACAAGAGGTAAGAACATTATATTATGTTATAGTTAAACTATATAACGCATACATAAATACATTTTATTTTTACATATTTTTGTATTCTTCGTTTTCCTTAGTTTGTGAAACCAAAATTTTTTAGTATAAAAATTTAGAAATATTCAAATTTAAAACTCATAGTTAAAGTTTTTATAATTTTTTGTTACTTACCTTATTTTAGGAATTCTTTTTCTATATTATGTTATTCCAACCTATTTTAATATTAGATTTCTAAATAGTAAGATATCTCGATATATGAAGTTTTGAGTATTAATCTTTAAAAACTCATTTTTATCTTCTTTAATGTTTTTTTTAAAGAGTTTTCTAAGGTGTAAGGAAAATTTTATTTTTACTCGAAAGTTTTTAATCGTTTATGGTTTACTACGAGATAAATATAACAGTATAAACTTATAGGAATATTCCTATACACAAAATTGAGCTATATATTTTTAAGGAAACAGTATTTGGCAATTCTAAAATGTGTCAATATAGTATTATATAAAAGAATAAATAAAAGAAACCACTCGATCTGAGGTGTTTGTAAAATATTACTGTATTACTTATGAGTTAAAGTCAACGTCTAATTTTCATATAGGCTTATGAAGTTACTGAGTTAATTGTTGTAATTGCATTGTTGTAATTAAGTGGATTTCATTACGAAATTAATTTGAAAAATTATTCGATTAACTTCGGTTAAAGAATTATAAAATAAATAACATGAAATACAAGTTTTTATATAAAATTTTAAAAAGGTCTACTAAATCTATTAAGAGAGAATTCCATATAATTTACTATTATAACCTTTTATTTAAATTAATATTTCGTATGCACTTATACATATTACTATGCCAATATCCTTTTAAACTCATAAATTGAAATGCAAGCAGCTATATACGAACAAATATTTCTTTAAATAAATAAATAAAAAATGACTGATCAACAAATAATATAAGTATAAATTAAATTTAAGCCTCCATGGCAGTGGTGGCATCACCATCTCATAATAAAATTTATTGCTGTCATAATTTAATATCTTTCGGAATATTTATACGATACGAAATAAAAAAAAAATATTACTTAAATGTTAGAATATTAGAGAAAGGATTTTTTTGTTTTTTCCTTCAAGTCCATATACCTACACATATACCACGTACACTTGCTAAACCATATGCATATACAGTTTAAACACATACATAGCACAAAGAGTGCGTAATTGGGTTTTTCGTTTTTATTTTACCAAAAATTTTTTGTGATTAAATCATTCTATAAAAGAGAACACTCTTTCTTCTTTAAAAAAAAAAAAAAACAAACAAAATTTATATCACGATAAACGGCTACATAAAAACGAAAAATTACAACAACAATCACAACAACCGTATTAAACACAATAAGAATACCGTATCATCCGCAACTTTATGTTTGCTATTCTCCTATGTTACACATATAAGAATACTTGTAAGCTGGAAGCTGAAAATCATCATCAAAACTTCATATTAAAATCTTTATTTTTTGTTTTTTTGTTTGTTTTTTTTTTAGAAAATTTGATATCCTGTAAATAAGAAAACAAAAAAGAAAAAATGAAATTTATTTTTATTGTTTTATATCGTTTTTAGCAATTTTCCAAAGAAATTGGAAAAAAAATTCTTATTAGTTTCACTCTGTCCATACTCTAAAAGTAATATCCTCTAAGTCCTAAAAAATCCGTTACTGATTATTTATTTTATGAAAATATATTTTATATTCTTCAAAAGGAGAAATGTAGTAACTGGCTTCTTTTATCACGATTCGCGATACGGCATAATTATGCTTTAAAATGACGAAATGGTGGTTGAAATTGACATTTCTCTGAAACCCATTTTCCTTCCAAATTATTGACAATTTTCTAACAGCCTTTGAAGCCTGCAATTCAACAGCCTTTGGACAATTCAAAAGACTTTGGAGCCTGCAAGTTATTGTTAAATACTAACTTTTGGAAAGTAATAAATAGTTTATACATTAGAAGGAAATTATTTTCCACCGCCAACCCTCCAAAATAACGCAAACTGCTATAAAAGCATTTCTATAAAAACTAACGAAAAATTCAGCGAAATTAAAAACAAAATTATTACTCTATATTATACGAGTTACTTTTTTGATTTTGTAGCTTTATAATCATATTAACTCACTTACATATCTTAACTTAAATGGATTCGACCATTACTAAATCCTAAATGTATGCAATAATTCAATATACGTTTTGGTATATGAATGAAAGTATGTACATTAAATAATGCAGTAGATTATTTTTAAAAACGGTTTTTATAACTTATTCAAGGGAAACGTGCTACTTTACAATCCTTCTGTTGGTATTCAACTATGAATATATTTTTTTGTTCCTTGTCGTTGCCATTCTATTACCGTAGTTTTTCTTATTTTTATTGTTGTTGTTTTTATTTTAAAATTAACAGCACGTTGTTCTTAATAAAAATAAAATAAATCTTCAAGGATAATAAAAAGAAAAAAAAATCAAAAAAATTTTCAAAATAAATAGGAAGGAGCAACGTCAATCTGGGCTTACATTCCCCAAAAATTTTATTTTTTAGTCTTCATTCTGCCATCATTTAATCAAGAAAAAAAAGAGAAAAACGTTATATAATCGTTATAAACAGTAATGGTGCATGTACATATCATACTTTATATCAGAGTATACATTCAAAGAAATCCCGAAGGATTTTATTTTGCAGTTATAACGAAGACATATCGAAATTTTTGTATTATTCTTATATGCGTACTTTATTTTCATTGAGGTCCTGTTTTGTCTTTTTAATTTTATGACATTTATTTCATTTTAAAATTTTATGCTGAGTGTTTATATAAATTATTTTTGTTTATCATCTATGCATTTAATAAATTGAAAATATTATTTTAAAATTAAAGAAAGCATAATGTAATTAATAGATATTTTAATGTCATGTATTATAAAAATTGAGATTCCAACGAAACTTTAACAATAAACTTGTAAACTCATAAAATGTTTTTTCTTTTCACATGAAGTTCTAACTTTTAGAGAGTATAGCGGATACGATTTGTATATTTGGGGGCCCCCTTCCTTCAAAAATTTTTTTTTTTCCAATGGTTGATAATTTTTCCGAAATATAATTTTTTTTTTTTTTTTTTTTATTGGTGTGAAAAGAAAACTTCCTTTTATTCGGAATAAAATACTTTTATTTTTCGCTAATATATTTCGTGCGCTACATACGCACTTTATCAAAGCTGATTTTCTTCTAATTAAGACAACAAACAATAAAAATTGAAATCTATTAAAATTAGGAATATTATACCTGACTTAATATAATCTACCTGACTTAATCTAGAATTTGATTATTTATTTTTTTTTTTTTTTTTTTTATTATTTACAAACTAAATTTATACCTGTTTTAAACCTTAAAACTGGTCAAATAATTAATTTAAAGAGCCAAGTAGCCGCGTTACCTTCGTCCGCGTTTAGTAGGCAGTCCTTGTTTGATTTGTATATCTGCATGCTTTCATGAACTTCTCTCCTGTGTTTTCCTTTTACCTCTTTTATTACCTTTAAGTTATCTTTCGTGATTGTGTGGTCCGTTTCATAAATGTGTTTTGCAACCATAGAATCGAAAATCCGGTTAAATCCTACTCTCCTTGCACGTTTTATTTCACTTAAATGTTCCTTAAGTCTTGTTGTAACGGGTCTCTTCGTTTGTCCTATGTAAAATTTATCGCAATTATTACAATTGATTTTGTACACACCGCATCTTTCATGTATCTTCAATTTATCCTTAGCCGAATTTAACAAACTCCCAAGTTGATATTTACTAATGGTTTCCGATGTCCGAATATTGTGTTTCCTTAGTTGTTTATTTATCAAGTTTGTACAGTGATGATCATAACTTAAAGATGCCCATGTTGTTCTTTGTTCTTCCAATATCCTGTTCTGTTTAAACAATGTGCTCATATTCTCCTGCTCAATTTTTCGTTTTTTCTTCCCAATGAGTTTGTTAATACGTTCAGTAGAATAACCGTTCTTCACAGCCGTGTCCAAAATGAAGTTTACTTCTGATCTATAGTCGTGTCTGTCCATCGGTGTGGGTAGCATTCTATGGATCATAGAGTTGAACGCCGCCATTTTATGTTTCGTTGAATGGTACGAGTCCCGTGGAATGCATCTTTGTTCAAGGCCCCCTTCCTTATTTTACTTTTCTTCTCACCCTAAAAAGTTTCTACTAGAGCGGAAAAGTATCTTATACTCGTATCTGTATAATATAATTACCTTTTGAATGGGAAAAATGTTTTTAGTTTTATCCAATAGTGTACAATAATTATTTGTTATCTTTAAAATATTTCATTTGATAAATCAATAGAAACTAAATAAGCTAGTTTTAAAACTTGTAAAAATTTTCAAATTCATTCTTTTTTGCTTTTAATAGACAATCTCAGTGACCAAAACATTTTGTAATCTTAAAACATGGAGATTTTCTGAATATTTCATTCATAATTTAAAAACTTCAAAGCTTTGAAATCTCTGTATTAAGTTTGTATTCGCTTTGAAAGCTTCTAGCTTTAGAAACGGGAAGTGCCCTACTTTTCTAAGTTATTAGGGTATTTAATATATTTTGGTATTTTAACATTATAATATTATAATACTGATTCCATATAAATTTACATTCATGTAATTAACAATTGAATTCTGAAACAATTCACTGTGAAAAAGGTGGTTTCTCTTTAATAATAACACCTGTATGAATTTTTTTATGTACATATTAATATAAATAAGAAAATATACTAAAGAAAAATTAAAGCAAATTTAATACTTAATCTCTAAATAACTAAAATAATAAGGTTTTTAATGTTAAGGTTTTAATATAAAATATTTAATCTTAAACTTTACTTAACTTATTTAATGTTTCGTAGTATAGCTGAACTATATTATGCATGAGCAAAACTTTCCATTTATTGCTAAAATAAGGAAGAAAACATAAAAATTACTTACATAATACAATCGTCACTACCATGGCAGCATATCAACAATGCTAATAAATCAGAGATGCTAAAAAATTTCGATTGTAATAAAAATTACTTGACATTTACTTGAAATAGTGTTTCTATTTCAAAAATAGTATTTTTGTGCTTTAGTACACTTTGTTATTAAAATAATGCTCTCTAAGAAGAAAAATAAATTTTAATAAAAATTCTATCTCTAAATTTTAGATGTCACGTGGAAATTGGCAAAATCAAGTGAAGTTTTACTGCATTTTTTTAATTTTTCAATGGATTGTCTCATAATTTAACGAAATTCTTCTTCTTGTAAACTAGATTAGCTAAGATTTTGTTCTATCTATCATGCCTAAATATTTGTTTATATATTTTATTTTTGTGTTTTTTTAAGCATTTTAAGTATGAATTGACTTCACAAAAATGTGTTCTTCATTTCCTTTCATGAAATTGTTTAATATAAGTTATTGAGTTATGAATATACCAACAAGCTTGGCTTTTAGTACAAACTTTCATAACATTTGCGACACATTTATATATCAGTTCTGTTTATCGACAATGTAAGTTATCAAATTATCGGAGAACATCAATCATACCAGTTTTATTAAAACCAAATTTAATTTATATTGTTATATCTTGATACTATGAAAATACGAATACAGTCAGAAAAACAAATTACCTGCAATATCCATATATACGAGTAACATTCAATTAGCCTAGTTAATTAGGATCTTGTATTTCTTTGCTCTACTTTTTAGTATAATCCACTTAACTTTTTTCTCCATAAAATAAAATTTCAAGATATAGCATCACTACTAATAAATATTATATTAAGCTATGCTGAAAGAAATGAATAATAAAAAGTATGTAAAATAAAAAACTTTTATTGTGCTCATGCCACGTTTTTATTTATGTGTGACCACTTACTTTTATATATGTATATTGAACAAATCTCTCAATTCTTCTCATATTGACCATATTTCATTTTGATAATGACCTCAATCACAAGGAAGTAAATGACTTTTTTTGTTAAGCACCTACGTTTATACTTAAAACAAAAACATTTGAGAAAATTTAATCGATTAATTCGAAAATAAAAGAAAATATCAAAAGAAAGAGAAAGTAAAGGAAACATAAAAGTAAAAATAAAATTGCATTTTACTTTTATTCTCAAATAAATTGTATTTTATCATTGTATTTAAAGCTCACCGTTCTCTAAACGTCAATGTTTCAAATACTTGATAAATAAAAAAATATTTGCATTGTTGTTTTTCCTTTGATAGTCATTCTAATATCATAAATTTCAATCTTTAACTTCTATTTTTTTAAATACTCAACTTGGTTCAAATAAGCAATAGTGCCAGTTAAATTCTAATTCCTAATTCGTGCTCTCTCTATCTTAGGTACTATGAATTTTTCAAACCCAATCAAAACTTATACACTCGATAATTTTTCTCTAATAAAACAATTTACTTCTTTAATTCAATATCTGTAGAATATTTGATCATAATATTATCCAAAAAATATAAAAATTCTTTAAAGAGATTTAAATATTCCCACAAGAACTTGAGAAATTAAGGCATAACCCAAGGAAAACCAAAAGAAATAGTTAAAATTAATCGACTGTCAGATGTTTATTAGGTTCTTCGCATTTTTGTTTTCTTTCTTAATCGTAAATAAATTTTTTGTTTTTTTTTTACAACACGTGTTTTATGCAAAACAATAATTTCTTTTAAAAATTCTTCAAGCGGATCTCTTTAAAGAACCTTAATACAACAACCAAAAAAAAAATAAATAACAGTGAAAAAAAAGAATGGAAACCTTTACATATTTGTGATGTGCATAAATTTTCAAAAACTAACCCATATCAAATACCTAACCAATATTAAATACAGAAAGTTCGTATGTATGCGAAAAAAACAATAACCTTAAATCTTTAACTCAAACTGAGTAAGATATAAGTAATTCTATAAATACTAGAAAACGTTTATGTGTTAAATTATGTTAATAATAGCAGTGCTAAAGAAACGGAAAAGTTTTCTTTTTTAAATCAATTTCAAAATTTATTAGAAAAAGAAAATATCAAAATTGTTGAAACTTCAAAATTTTTTACAAAAAGAAAATTAAAAAAGGACTCTTATAGCCAACTCCCAAATGAATATTATGTATTTCTAAACATTTTCCGTATGTTTTTTAAGCGACCTTTTAACTCAAATGTACATTTTTCGATTTTTTCTCAAGCGAAGGATGATAAATGATTAATTTCTCAGAAGAAAAAGAAAAAATTAAATAAAATTCTATTCTATTTTCTTTTCTATTTTCTTTTTGCTGTAGAAAAATTTTTGAAACAAAATTAATATTAAAAATAAAATTGAATTTTTATTATAAAATAATAAAATTAATTTGAAATTTATAAAATAAAATATAAAAAAAGTTTTTGTTCCAAATTGTTACGCAATATTTCGCCCTTTCTCCTTATCGCTTAATTTTCCATCAACTTCTATTTCTTTTAAATTATTTAGAAAATAAAAAATAATTTGGTTTAGATGAAGGTTAAACCACAAACGAATTGTTTAATCTTACCAAAATGTAAAATAAAATTTATTTTTGAAATGAAATTTTTATTAATTTTACAAAATAATAATTTTGGTCAAACCAATGGTTTGTAATGTAGCACTTTTCCCTTCAACAACTGAAAATACTGTTTTTAAGAGCAATCTAGTCAGCCAATAATTACTTTCACTCATAGACAAAATTGTTTCAAAAATTGCAAATATTTAGGATGTGACAAGAAAAATTGAAAAAGGCGTTAACAGAATGGCATGAATTCAAGGGTTAGTTTCGTGAGTATAGAAAAATAGTTTTGTTTTATGATGTCGAACTCCTTTAATTTGCCATCTAGAAGGAAAAACATATAAAAAATTTAAAAAATCCGATTTTAGATAACGGTTAATTTTAACGGCCATTTTGTTTTTTTTAAGTTCAACAATGCTATTCCGCAGTATAAGAAGCACACAAGTCCTCATCTATGTTTGCAAAATTTAAAAAAATGTTTATGGATTCGTTACAATAAAAAGTCAAAAAAATGCCTTCAGTGCTCAAGTCAAAACTTGGAGGGACTACTTTGCTTTTCTGCTGTAGAAATAAAGAGGTGTGGAATTAAACCGGTCCACGGGCGGATAGACACAGTGACATCAATAAGCACTTTTTTCGAAAAAAATTTTTCAAAAGTGCTAGAAAAGATTTGCTTTTCGTGATAATTTGATTGTATTGAAAATAAAACAAAACAAAAAAATTCTATTAGTAAACTTTTAACATTTTTGAAATCGAAAATATTTACAAATCATTATTCAGCTTCGCGATATTGGCTCAGTTGAGCTACACAGTTAAAGCTGTACGATACAAGGTGTTTGGCCTAATGCATAGTTGAGGATGATGTTTTTAGTGAAATTACTAGAAACTAATTTATACCAAAATTTGATTTACGCTAGAGTTTTATTTTAATTAAAATAAAAGATATTATATAGAACTATTACAATCGACTTCTACAAACATCTTTCACCGTTTCAAAAATCTCTTTAACTTTTTTTTAATGTCCGTAATAATTTCTCACCTTCATTACTTAATAGCTTTGATTCGGCATTTTCCATTTACTTTTATGATGTCGAAATTGGTGCAAAAAACTTAAAAATTATTCAATTCCCTCGTAAATGGCATAATTTCAGATAAAGTTAGAAACTATCATCACAAACAAACGAAATAATTACATTTATTTATTACGAATGATCTGAACTAAATATGCAAGTGTTAGTTTAAAAATTATAATACCAGTGTTGTTTTAAACGAAAGAGTGAGAGAAAAATAAAATAAAATATATTATTCAATTTACTTTGCTTATTTCCGGGCAACACATATTTCTTCCCTTAAAATTACAATCCTTAATATTTTCTTCAAAACAAAAATTTTGTTTTTGTCTTTTATTCCTCAGTTTTTCGCTCTCGTTTTCATAAGAAAAACCAAAGTGAAATATAATGGTCCCTTTTAGATTCGCAAGTATGTCGTACAGTTTCCTTAACATAGTTTTTATGTATAACTACTACATATAAGCTCTTTAAAAGTATCGCTATGAGTAAATTATTTTTTTGCTATTGTTCTGTTATTTTTTTCTGTTTATAGACACCATTTTATAAAATATTTACAATATTTGTTTTTTTGAGCTTTTTTTTTGTTTTATTTTTAAATAGAATTACATAATAATATTATTTAACATTCACATTCATATACACACATACTTAAAAATATATAGTGGGTATATTAATACATATTTACATTCGTAAGGATATTTCTAACTAATATGCATAAATTTCATATATAAACTTTAATTCTGTCTTTTTCTTTTCTCTTCTCTTAAAAATACAGGTGGAAAGTTATTTGAAAATAAAAGGTACACATTTGGAAAGAGAAATGGCAGCAGAGATTATATTACATATATTAGATAAAGTCATGCAAAATGTTGTCTCATTAAATAGTCAACAGGTGAGTTATGGTTTTTATTTTATATTAAAATAATATATATACGTTTATACATACATACTCGTATAAAGTAACTATATATTATATAATTTTGCTTGTTGTATAAGAATAACTAGAACATACAATAAATTTTTATGTACATATACAAATCTTTGTACTACAATCATGTACTTATATGTACATTATTTGATTAGTTTTATGGTTATTATATTTAAAAAGTGAAAAACTACTTTAGAAAAAACTTAAAATAAACGGGTTGCATCAAAAGAGAGAGAAGTTTAAAACATATAAAATTAATGCTTTCGTCTTAAATGAACGTTTGGAAATTTATTATACTTTCACGCCTTGCACGAGTTCTTTGCATACGTATGTATATATGTACATACACAATTTAAAAACATATTATACTTTCACACACTTGTGGTTTTTAAGAGAATGTTTTAACCCATAAAAAACGGGTTTCAATAAATTTTTAATTTGATTTATTAACATGTAGTCCTCACACCTTTTTACGCAAATTAAAAATTATGAAATAATTATTTTTTAATATTAAATTAATTAAAAAAAAAAATATTAAAATTTATTTTATTTTTATTTATTTATTCCATATTATTAATATTATAGGGCAAATTTAATTTTAAGCTTATAATTTTTATAATAATTATAATATGAGTACTCAAACCATTTAATAGAATTACGCACAGAAGTTATAAAATTTTAAAATTTTCGAATGAAAAATAAATAAAATATTTCGATAATACTCATAATAGATGCACCAAAAAAGAGACCAGCAACTCCACCAATAGCAACTATTGTAAAACGAAAAAAATTAATAGAAAATAATCTTTAATATAAGCCACAATTTTATACTCACCAACTAAATCTAAACTAGTTCTAGCAACGCTTCTTATATAACGTATTGTTGGTATATTTGTTATCATAACTTCATTATGATAGTATGGTGTTTGTTCTTTAATAACTTCTACGTCACTTAAAAAGTAAATTTTTTAAAAAATTTAATAGGTTTTTCAATTAATCAGACTCTAAACAAGATAATATAGTGGACCCATATAATAAATATACTTCCACTAGATAATTGTACGTATATGATTATATTGAAACAATATTGTATTAAGATTATCAAAAGATTCATTTCATGAAAAACTCTGATATCAAAATGAATAATATGGTCTAGAATAATTTGTATTTGCTTTTAATTAAAAAATTTCAATCCAAATTTGAAATTTTTGAATATAATTTCAAAAAGAGAATAAATTTATAGAAATTCAATGGAAGTAGGAAAAAATTATTCTGTAACTTTCTAGTTTTTTAAATGAACAGATCTTTATAGCACTTAAAATATTAGTTGACTTTTAGTTTTACATGCTCGATAAAATTTTTAAAATTTTGTCAATTAGAGTAGATTCTGTTCGGATGTTCGGATATTGATCTTGTAAAATAGCAGTGCCGAAAACTTATTGATTAACATTGTAAATGATGATATTGAAAAATTTTTAGAACTATTAAGAATAATATTACATAAAACCAAAATTAAAAAAAAAAAAAACCATCTTACATCATCTTAAAATCCATCTCATCATAAAATTATGCTTATTTTATTATATGATTTTATTTTAGATTTATTTTACTAATTTAAAAAAGGATAGATGAAGAAAACTGAAATTTTTAATAACCAAAATCAAAAAAAAAAGAATTACTAGCAAGAACAACAGATTGTTCAGGCCTGGCACATAAAAATGTTTTTTTTTCTTTAAAATTAAAAATATTTTACCTCACTAATTTGTATTCAACTGTAATACAAGATTTTGTACACATTTTATGTAAAGGCAAGCCAGTATATATATTGTCAGCTACGTACATAAGAAAATAATTAAACGCTGCTATTATCAAAAATGAAATAGTTAAAAAATACAAAAGAATTACCTTTCAAAATGCAATTATACTTTTGAATCGGACAATATTTGTCTTTATCTGAAAAAAAAATACAGTTAAATAGGAATTCCAATAAACATTTTCTATTCAAGAAAAAAAGTTTTCCCGAAATGAATTTCAATTGATTAATTGTATTAATAAGACCAACACAAAACTTACATTTTTTGGGCGCTAGACGAAGGGTGCAATTACATAATTTCAATTCAGTTTCAATTTTTTTCTCCTGCAGACATGTTGTAAAACTATAAGTAGAAAAATGATATTATTAGAAATGAAATAAGCTAGAATTACGAATAATCCTATTCAAAAAAAAAATTATTTTATAAGAAAATACTATGTATATCAAACCTGTAATGAAAAGAGTCATTCGCTGACATTTTTTCATGTAGAAAACGGCAACGCCTCTCTTCAACTGTCAAAGAATCTATTACCTCTGGATCATTTTCCATTTCAATTGTTGAAAATCGATATCTTTTTGAAACTTTAATGGTCTCTTCAAATCCTTTGTTGTTTGGAAAATCTTCGGGACTGTGAATATAAATCTACAATAATATTCACGTAGAATAACATTTTAAAACAGTTTAATTATTAATTAAAGTGTAATTTTCAAAATATTAAAATAGCTTTATATAGTGAATTAAAAATTACCCTATAGTCGTAATCCACATCCTTTAACAATTGGAATGATAAGATTGGATAATAATTAGCTTCTCGATTAAATTTCAGTGGTAATTTATTTGGATCCAAACCACTTAAATATTTTAATTTAAATTGAATATATTCCAAATATTTTTAAAAACAATTCAAATATGGAAACAATTATTAAATAAATTTTCTTACTAATCTATAAGAGCATTTGCTATAAAACAAGGACCTAATAATGTTAGACGATACATAAAAAGCTCATCACATTTATGGTATTTTTTTCCATCAAATTCAACATTTGCCATGAAATCATTGCAATCTTTTGGCACATACTTTCATAATTGTAGAAAAAATTTGGAATTAATTTCGTAATTAAATTTTACCATATTTAAAAATTAATTTTTATATTTTGTTATTTAGTTTAAGTTTTTACCTTTTTACGTAAATTATCAATAAATTCTTCACATGTTGCATTTGGTGCTAGACAGGGACCTTTCGTAATTGTAGTATCTTCTGAAGTAAAAAAAAGAATATGAAATATATGTCTTATATAATTAAAATCCGTTCCCAATTTTTCATTATTAATTTTCTTCTGAATTTGCGTGTCACTCAACATTCCACGTCTTAAACAAACTGATACGGCAACAAATGTATTATTCCAATGTAAATAATCAGAATTAACGCCCATGCTTATTAGACCTGTGTAAAATCGTTCATATGTCAAAATAAATATTTTGATCATACCAATCATTGAAACTGTCAAAATAATCGCCCAAAATACTCTGAAAAATATGCATTTATAAAATAATCTTAATGTGTAAAAATTTAAATTATTTAGTAAATTAGTAATTATTTTATTTTCAAGCCAAAAAAAAATATTTTTGAAAATCAAATTATTATTTTTCATAATGAAAATCAACTACGCCAATTTTTTTTTTGCTTCCAGATTTTTTATAAAATTCTTTTGCCAACCGATAAAGTACTAAATAATATTTCTCTAATTAAGAAGGTATTTGAAGAAAAAGCTTTAGAGTAATAATTTCCAATAAATCCAATAGCAAATTTTACTAATTCCATTGGTTGACATCTTTATTAATATATTTTGAATTTTTAATGCCGAATAAAAATGGTGAGGTTTACCACTTGAGTAAAGCTAAGATGTAGGATGTACCGCTTGAGTTATTCAAAATCAATTTAAATTTTAACAGACAAACTTGTTATGTCGTCTAATTTTTTTAAGAAATAAAAACTAAGTAGATTTAAGACGTTTTGGCTTATAATTATAATGAAAAATTATTAATGCTTGCAATTTTAGTATATACCTGCCCCAATTTTTACATCTTTGTCCTAAAAACCGTAATCCACTAATAGTACTATTTTCTAAAAAATATAAAATTCTTTCTTTTCGGACTGAATTCATTTTTTCAATTTGATGTTAGAAAATTGTTTCAATTTTAATAAACCAACTGACTACTAAACATTTTTTTTATTTCAAAATGCTATTCATTCAAAGACCATAAGATTACCATATACATATAGCAAAAATTTTTTTAATTATTTTAAATTAGTATTGCATGTTATATTTTATGCGATTAATGGTTATTTTGTGTACAAATGATGTTACAAAAAATATAATTTAGGTTGACGATACTCGTTTACATGTTCAAATAAATGCATGTAATTATTTCTATTCAAGTAAAATAATTTTAAAGCACAATTTAACATGGAAGACGAATATAAATTTCATTATTAAACTATCGAAAATTGTTCTAGTTTCTCTATTTCTTTTCTCGAATTAACATGAATTTTAAATCGACATACAAAATTTCCTTTAGTGATAAAATCATCAATTTATTTACACCTCAAAGAAACGCATGCTAAAGATTAGAATAATAACTTTGTTCTTAAACTAAAAAAGAAATATGAATAAGAATATATTAATAGAAAATATGGATTTTCCCTTTATTTTTCGTTAATATATTCGCATAGTAAGTGTGTAGTAATAAAACAAATTCCATATACATGACACGTAACCAATTGCATCGTATATCTCTAGAATGGTACTTAAAGAATTCAGTAAATTTAATAGTCGAATTCTTTATTATTATTAATTATTACACATTTAGATACCTTTGAAAGCCAAAACTTCTATTTCTTAAAAAAGCTGTTTCAAAGTTTTTGAACATATGTATAATTATTGCCTTAATTTGGCCAATTCAACCGTGAAAATTCTGTAAAGAAAATTCGGATAAAAATTAGCATGAAAATCGATTAAACAAAAACGGAAAGAAGATAATTTTCAATAATTAGAACAAAATAATTTTCTTGTAACTCCCAAATTTTGTATACACTGTATTTTTATTAAAACTTTTATTAAAATTTGTCAAAATATACAAAATAACTATGGTTACAATTACTTGTCTTTGGTAATGTGGTTGAGTAGGTTTTATTAGATCAAATTTCTTACAGGGAGAATCCCAGTGGCTTAAGGTCAATCGAGCTTATAATGTTCTGCGTCATAGTACAGACTATGGGATGTATGAGCCAGTGATGCATATGTTGCGCGAAGCTAACTTGTATTCGTCTGTTTTTTGTACGAACATAAGTAAGAGTGTGCTTAAGGCGAGACTATACCGTAGCATTGATTGTGTTAAATTTATTCTTGATTTATGTTACGCTTTTTATTAACTTGCCGCACAGTAGTTGGATACTTTTAGTTTTGGCTGTTTAATTTTTATTTACCTATTAATATTCAATTAATACTAGTATTAATATTTTTTCTCCGCCATTTGTAAATGAGAAAAGGAAGAGAAAGGGAATCTGTTTGTTGGAAAAGTGATGTTTATTTTTCTATACCAAATGATTCTACTAAGCAATCGTCTGATATTAAAATAACATTTCAAATTTGCTACCAAAACATTACCTCACTTATTGCTAGCAAAGCAACCAATTCAAAACAAACCAATAATTATAAGTTTATAAGTAGAAATAACATTTAATTTTAGTTAACCATAGTTAATTGGTATTTTTCAAAATTTAATAGACTAAACACAATACATAAAAGAAAAAAGGTTTTATTTCGAAAATCTCATTAATTATGGAATTAAACGTGCGATAGTTTCTCATTTCTATTTCTCTTAAATCAAGTCCCTTCTTATATCTTAAATTAAATTTAATTAAAATTACGATAATAATTACGATAAACAATCAAATATTTTAAATAAATAATTAATCATTTAATTATGAATCAATTTAAATTAAATACTATCATTACTTTTTTGCACTTTTTTATTCCTTCAACTGATTTGTTTTCAAAATAATTTTGACTTATTAAGATTCTTAACCCATATATTAATTTTTAAATGATTTTTAATAATCTCATTTGATTCAGAAAATGAGAAATCAAAGTGTATATTCTATGAAGTTTGTTATTTAGACTGTATACAATTAATATAAATACACAAATATAATTTAAAAATTTATTTTTATAATATAAAAATATTTAAATAAAACTCAAAAAAAAAAAAATTCTCAGACATTCTCATATCATCATATTATCCTATATAATATTATGCTATAGTCTCAAGGATAAACTTGCTATTAACATAAAACGACAAAATTTTTAATTCAAATTTTTAATAAATACTACGCTATTTTAGTATGGAGTACAGAGAACACAAGAATACTTCATGCACCAAGTTTAAAAAAAAGGAAAATAATTCATTATTTATCTCTTTATACATTATATAATTATAAGTATGTTTACATAGGTATATTATTTATGTACATAAAATGAAATTTTAATTATTTCCTTGTAGCTATTTTTTACATTATTTTTCTTTTTTTGTAAAATTCTCATGACACACATTTTAGAGATCCGATACTCATTAAATTAATATTAAAATTTAATAGAGAAAAAAGCAAAATTAAATTTTTCAATGCTTATAATTTTAAAATTTTTAATTTATACATGCAAATTTTAAAAATTATTACAAAAGTATCGACACGTCATTATTGTATAATTGTTTTCAATCTAATAATTAAATTTTATAACTTATTTTTTTTTTGTAGCAAATAAAAAAATTTCAACTGTTAACACAATCAGCGGCATTAAATCGTGAAACAATAGCAGCTTCACAATTGGCAACATCAACATCTTCATCATCATCATCGTCACAATCATCATCAATAAATAATGGAAATATTGTATTAATTCCAAATTCTGGTGTATCATCATCATCGCCAACAGGGATATCAATATCTTCATCATCATCATCATTATCCAATTCAGGTTCAATTTCCAGTTCATCTAATTTATCATCTGATATACAACGTAAAATATCTTCAGGTTATAAATGGTCATCACCATCATCATCGGTTAATCATCATGATCATGATAATAATTCAATAGCTGACACCGAATTAACATTAGAAAGATTAAATTCATTTCGTATTTATACAACGTCCATTAAAACTTTACCATTTAATTTAAGAATATATGGGTAAGTTAAGAAGAATATTATATTTATCAATATAATAACCTCAATTAAATATTTAATACACATTTTTTTTTCATTTATGTTGTAGAGATGATTTATTTTCCGACCAGTTATATTTAGATATACGAGCAACAAAAAATCTTATGGAAATTATGTCAAATGGAACTGTTTTTGCATCAGTAATTTCATATAAAAATTTGACAAAATTTTTGCCTAGAACGTATTATGCTCGTGGAAGGTGAGTTAAAGATTCATATATTTTTATAATTATGTGCGTGCCCATCCTTTAAAATTAAATTAATATTATATGAGAAGTATCTTCATAAAAATATTTTTTAAACATTTCCCTATTAATGATTATAATACTTGTTATATTCACAGCGATATGGGTCCAGATTATATGCCAGCCTCACGTATAATTGCAACATGGTTATTTCAATCAAATCGGTCAAATGATAATTATGTTGAACCATTAAATATACCATTAGAATCGGGTCGAGTTGAAATTATTTTCCAACATGAGAATGTACCAAAGAATACCGATTGGCAACCAGTTTGTGGGTAAGTTTTTTTTTACTTCATTTTTGAACTGTAATGAACTGGAAACAAAACAGATTGCTAAATTACTTCCTCAGTATTACTTATTTATTCAGATTTTTATTCAATAATTTCAAATTTATTGTCGCTAAATGTTAATATAAGGAATTTAGTGCTAAATACATCTAAGAAATTGTTCGCCTATGCATATGCAATTAAAATAATTAAAAAATTAACTCTATGTGAAAAATCAATTTCATCATTATTTTTATTTTTAAATAAATTTATTAAAAATTATTTTACTTTAAAAAACTTTAATATGCAACATATATGCACTTTGAATAATGAAAATCCAACTTTACCAAATTTTACCCAAAATTAAATTGTTTCAGTTCAGAAGGCACAATATTTTCATCTAATTAAAAGGAAAAATTTATTTATTAATACCTCAATTTCTGTGTTGTAAACAAGCCTTTAAACACTTTATAAATTAATTTTAATTATGAACACATAATCCTCGTTATATTCGTTTATATAAATTAGGATACAGCTATTAAAATGTCAAAAAATCAATAAAGAAAAAAAATATGGAAATGAAAATTTAAACACTGTTGATTGTGATTTAAAATTTAATAGATTATTTTTATAAAATAATCATTAACACACATAGTCAAATTTATTTTAAAAATTTCATATGAAAATGCATTCCAAATATTTTAAATAATTAAATTTCACACATTATAAAACCTTCAATTGACCCTTAAAAAAAATTATTCAATTTATTCATTCACGTTCGTTTTTTTGTCTTTGTACTGATAGAAAACCAATTTGTTTTTTTTTTTTTATTTTTTTAAACCATTAAATAGAAAGAGTATAATATGGCTCTCGATAACCGTTATCGACGAATTCGCTCTGGTTTTTTTTTAAATAAATGAAATAGTCAAGGTTTAAGGGAACGGCATGGTTTTTAAAACAGCATTTTAACAGTCTTCTTGCTCTACTTAACATTCTACTTAACAATATTACACTTAGTAATTTTTTCATTTTATACCTTTCCAATCTAATAAAAAACTCTGTTTGAAACGGAAGAATCAATGGACATTGGTCTATCTCGAAACTAAAAGCTACAAAAGCACTGTTTTAATCAACATGTTAATTTAAAAAAGGGTTCGTAATAGTAGAAGGGCTTAATATTAACCAATTTCTTTTATTACATTTGAATTTTGTTTGCAAATAAAAAGTTTTCAAAACCGAACAGAGTTTTGAAAACTTTTCTAATATTGTTGACAGAGATTTAATACAGAAATGAAATTTTTGATATTTCGTATAACACACTTTAGTTATACCTTTATTGAGAAAAGCTGAATTTTCCTTTCAGAAATGCAATTACATTTTGCTTAAATCAGACTTAAGAAAAATTTCATCGTAAGAGGCTGATTACTGATGGAATCTCAGCATTTATTCAATAAATATCAGAAAGTGCAATAAAATTCCAATCATTATGATGTTTTTTATGAAATCTTGGACTTAAGATAGTTTTAAAGCTTTATTAATCTTTTTTAATGAAACTTTACTTTTTTTCAAATTTTAATTGATTACAATATTTTCTTAATTTTCTCCCTCTTAATTATAATTTATTGCTCTAATTTACTCCAACAGATATGCAAAACGTTGTAGAAATCTTTTAGGAATGATTTCGATTGGTAGCTATTTTAGTTTTAGACTTAATTATCAATCTAATTGATTTTTAAATGCGAACTACCTAATAAATTTCAAGTTAGGAGGAATAAATTTTTTTTATGAAGTTATTATAACTTTAATAAGTACAATTTTCAATAATAAGTATGTAAAATAATTACTTTCCCGTCGTAAAATTTTGTTTTAGAAGCGAAATTTAAGTATTTTTGCAAACATCCTGTACAGTTTCATCGTATAGACCATAAATTTAATATAATAATAATTGACAATTTTAATTAATTTTGTTATTATTCTATTTTTTACTTTTATATGTGCGTATGTAGTCGGGGGTTTTTTATTATATTTTCATGTTGATTTTATTGCCTACGTTCATTTAATAAAATTGTTGTTGGAGAATCCGATTCCTAGTTTTTAATTTCCCAACAAAAATAATAATAATGGACATTTCTGCTCTTGCTATATTCCTGGGGGCCATTTCTATGAACTTTATTTATTAATTCCCTATTATACTATTTTTATGCTACTACCTATTTTTTTTTCTTTGTTGTTTTATCGTTATATAATTATTATCGTCATGAACTTTGATGATGATATTAATTTTTTATTTAATTATTATTTTTATATTAGTTTTCCGAAAATACAACAAAAACCTTATCTATTTTTTGATATCAAAATATTATTTTGCTATTTTGGTATAAATGGTTTTTTTTATTGAAAATTTATATACTAAATTTAGATTTTTTAACAAATTTTTTTTGTTAAAACTAATTATTATAAAATATATAAAAATGAAAAACAAGAGTAAAATTTAAACATAGATAAAAATTTGACTATTGTATTTTTTTTCTTCTTCTATGAAATTTAGTCATGAAATGCGTACAACGTATGAATCAACATGGCGAACTGATTTGTGTATAACAAAAAATTTAATGGAAAATATGACCCGGTGTATTTGTCCTTTGTCAGGAACATTTGTGGTATTGTTGGCAAAGAAGAATTATGGTGTAAGTATACAAAATAAATTGTTATAATATTTAATTTTATAAATAAATAATCTTTAATGGATATGGTTTTGTGTTACTACACGTATTTTACATAGAGAAAACATAAATTAATATTTTTATACTTTTACAATAAAAGTATATTTTAAATTAGATAGCATAACATTATTTAATAAAAATAATTTAATTTTTCTACCCACCGGAAAGCATATATATAAAAGTCCATATGATTAAAATAATACTGTAACTTTTCATCAATTTGTGAAATTGCGTTTTTGAATTGAAAAACTCACGATTCAATACGATTCAGTTCAGACCATTTTATAAAGTTATAAAAGAAGAAATTACGTATTTGCATATTATTTTACTGGAGCCCGAAGAGAGAAAATTCAAGGATTTGTAATTAATTTCTTTCTAGTTTTTTTCAATCAATTTTGTTTTTCTTTTTTTCAAAATGTTTTCCTTGAAAAAAAAATATGATAAATCCTTATGGGAAACATAATATATATATATATTATGAAATAGTATTAATTTCATCCTAATAATCTTTATAAGAAAACCTTGATTCTCATAATTTATTCCTCTTATTCTTTTAGTATTATTAAATAAATCATCTGAATTTCAATAACTTATCTGCTATATCATTAAAATATCAGAGTCAAAATGATTTCGAAGGAAATTTCAAGGAATTCTCATAATTCTACTTTTTTCTATTTAAACATATTCCTGAACGTATTTATAAGATAGATTTTACTTTTCATTTTAATCCTTTTCCATATACACACATATTATTATAGTTGTTTAACCCGAAAAACCAAAGCCATATAAATCTTTCAAGATATTTTCAATCAATTTTCCAATTCTTTTGTAAATTATTGTTATTATCAATAAGGATATTTTGTTACGTTAATATTGTTACAGTCTTGAATGATGATTTTATTTTCATCTTATTTTTTAGATCTTTACCTTATAGTCCTTGATTTTTTTATCTGAAATTTAACACATTGTTAAATTTAGTGACCAATAGATTAGACATCAATCTTTTTCAATTTAACAGTATGAATTCAATTCTAAAAAATTTACTTTTTTTTTCTTTCTCAATAAACTGATGAACCGAAAAACTACTAGCACACACGAACAATATTGTCAACTAAGATTTTATTTAATAAATAAGAAAGAAAAAAAAACTTATTTCACATCGATTAACTTCAATATTTGAGGAATATGTTTTAAGTAAAAAATTTATTTTTTAACTTTCAGATGAGCATGAAAGAATTACTTGAAATATGTTGAATTTCAAGCAATTCAAAAGGATCCTATACAATTAATTTATATAGCCCGCTAATTTGTTTTTTTTTACAATTTTTAATGTTGATAATATCTTACTGTTTAGGAATATGACACCGTTTTTTAATTACTTTTTTATGATTCCGTCAATTTTTTTCTAAATTATAAGCCCTACCCTAACGTTTGGAGACACCAAATAGATAATACTATGAAAGCCCTACCAGTTTTATATTTACTGAAAAGTTTCTTGAAAATTACGATTTAAGGGAAAAATTTTCACCGCACCGTATACACATATTAAAATTTTGGACTTCTTTACAACTACAGCTAATACGAGCATGTATCAGAAGTCATAGGTTTTCTCATTATAAAAAATATTTTATATAAAAATTTAATTCATGGTTTCCCTATTTTCCTCAAATTTGGAAAAATCAGCGACTTTTCTGTTTAGAATAAACTTCTACACAAAATTCAATAGAAATGATTTAAAAGAAACATATCTCACACTTACTTTATTAAAGATATTTTTTTACCATAACCCTCAATTACATTCTCAATAGAGAAGCTATAATATACGTATAAGTAATAGATGCAAAATCAATCCATAATTTTTTCTAAAAAATTTTAATTTTCTAATTAGTTCCCAACTCAATATTATTTCCATAAAACAAAATGCAATACAGCTAAAATCAGATTTTTTTTATATGGTTTCACTTTATTTTTGAGTTATTCACACGAAATCAAATATAATTTGACTTTTTAAAATAGCTTTTAAGAAATCCATTTTAATTCCGAGATACCATATATAAATTATCTGTTATAGCATACACACATTATTTTTGAAAATCTATTTAACATAAACTGGTATTTTCAAAACCTTAAAACTTTTATTAAAATTAAAGAAAATAAATAAAAAACAAAAATTTTAATTAAAAAATTTTACCTGCTTCAAAATTAAGTACGTTCATCCGCCCGCCCTTTTTTTTAGAAAGATTCCATATTTTTCTTTTTCTGAAACTGAAATTTTTGAATTAAAAAAAAGTAAGATAAGGTACCTCGGCAAGTAACCCAATTACTGCAATGTATATAAACTTTTCAACGTTATTGCCAAGAACTGGAAATTATGAAAGTTTGTCAAAACTGCAATAGCTTAATTTCAAAAAATTAATTGATAAAATGGGGGTTTCTTAATAAAACAATTTTAGCTTTCATCAGAACGTTTATTATTTATTAAAAAATAATGTCTAAATATACCTACAAGCAACAAACTAAATACATACATTAATTTTATAAATATATGTACTACATATGTATTCACCTAATGTTATATAATATAGTATAAAAATTTATTTATAAATACACATACTTTTTTTATATAGCCAACATCTATTGAAAATCGTACATCAACACGTCCAATTTTTGTGATAATCAGTTGTGGTTGCTGTTTCCTTCAATCTTGTACAGCATTTGCAATATTAATACCAATATTATATAATAGAAAGTGTTCCATAACATTTTTGAAAATGCAATTCTGTACATCAACATCAACAGTAATGGCGATATATTTACTAGGATTCTTAAAACTTTTACCACAAGTAAGTAATTTTTTTTTCTTTTTCTGTGATTTTATTTTATCTTTAATTATTCATTAACATATAAGGTCACAATATGCATACATTAATGGAACGTTTATTTAAATATTTGTAATATATAATTTGAGTGTTATACATAATTAATATCCAGTATACTAGTATACTTGTATAATCTTTTGCAATTAAAAAAATTTCTTGAACATTTTTGAGGCAAAATGTTATCCTATTACTATATTCTTTGTTATTCTCGATTAATGGATAGAAACAACGGAAATTTTCTTCGACAGACAAAAATATCGATTTGTAAAATAGTTCCAAAAAGTAAAAAAAAAAGATCCTTTTTGCCTGAAGTTGAACTAAACTGCTTAAAATAGTTAAATGCTTTATAATTTCGGTAGTATTGCATTCGATGAATCTAGCTACACAAAGCTTATTGTTTCTAGCGGCTCAAAACTTACTCAAATTTAATTCTATTATATATAATCCAATTTCATATGTGAAATTATTAATTATTATTTTAAACATGCTTATTCAACTTGCAATTTATTCTAAAGCAATTGAAAAAAATCGCAAATATGCAGCAGTGCCCGTGGTAACCAAATAAATTTCCAAAATTTTATATTCAAAAAATTACGAAAATTTTTTTTTCTACATTACAAGCTGAAACCAATTCTGAAGTGTCCACGTGTATAAAACTAGTTCTACATTTCAGAAATTCATGAAAAAATTTTTATTTATCAACCATGCTACCAATAACCATGTTACGACTCAGTAATTTTTAATTCTACTAGAATAGAAGCAACATATTTTCTCTTATTTCCACTAGTTTTTTCTTAATTTTTATAACCAACTCGAAATTACTGGAATATTAGTATCATTATTTTTGTTGTGCTATACCAAGCGTTATGTTCAATTTAAAGTTAATAAAAATAATAAAATAATAATGTCAACGGAAAATTTAACTGACCATTAATTTTAATCCTTATATTTCTAAAATAGTCAAGCACCAAAGCAAACTTTGTTTATATTTCAAAAAATTGTTTAGTTGGTTCTCCGACAAGAATAAAAAAACCGATTTATATTTTTATAAATATTTAAAATAACCATCACATGCATGTATTTTTACTAATACTGTACATAAGCAAGCCCGCAAATTAATTTTCGATTTTTACGAGTAAAAAGCAAATATCAGGAAATTTTTGAAATTTTCTCGGTTAACTAGTATTAAATAATATAAGTTTCACATTTTAGTTTTAAATATTTTTGAAAACTTGTTATTTTACCGCCTTTCAATATTAACTACACCACATATTTGGACTTTTAACGGATTAATACCTTTGAAACTTTGCAATCCTCTTAGACTATGCGCAAAGGTGTAATATTTTTAGTCTTGTATCACAATAAAAACTGTCAAACGCAATTTTTAACTAGAAATCATCGCTATGTAAAATTACGTGGTTAAGTTTTTTTATTCGACCTTTTATTTAACTTAAGGAAACTGTAAGTTTTACATAAATTTCTACTTCCTGAGTAAATAAAATGTTTATCATCAAATTTTATTTTTGTTTTTGTATAATAAGCGGGAAATTTAAAAATGTATTCAAATAGAACGACACTAAATTCAATACATTATAGAGAAACACTACGTTAGATGATTATAGTCCTTGTGTACTACATTCATGGTTACACTCATTAGTTTCACTCATTTGTTTTTATTTTCTCCTTTACAAATTCCATATATGGAATGTCCTGCGCTCTTATTTATAGGAACTTTAAAATTGATCTGGTTGAATTCATTTTCATGCAAGTATATGTGCCGCAACGACCACTTCAGATTATATGATGGTTGCTGCAGTAATGATTTAAGTTTTTAAATTATAATGTAAAGGGATGAACAAGGTAGATGATAGAAGTATGAAAATTACAACAAATATAAGAATTTTAAGGATATCAAATTCCTAAACTTTGAAGAATACATATAAAAAAACAATTGCTATTCTTTTTTTAATTTTCAACTTCTTCTTTTCAATTTCTTCTTACTTTTATTTTATAATTTTTTATTTATAAAATTTTTCAAGATTTTCTCAATCTTTTCCTTCTTCAATGGCAATCATATCCGTATGTGAGTGTATGTACCCCTTGAATTTTTTAAAAGAATACTTTCGTTAATTTTTAAGGTACCCATGATGGTGATACACATTTCCAAAGTACATTGTTTATTAAGGTATACAATACACAGTTAAAGTAGAGTAGTACGATAGCTACTTGTACTGTACTGATTAAAGTATAGTTAATTAAAATTGTAAACTTCTAAATTGCTTAAAACAAATTTTTATATTACATAGTACTAGTACACATATATATATATAAAAGGAAGCAAAGGAGAAAGAAAGAAAAACTCTAACTTAATAAATATTTAATAAATTTTAAGTAAAGAAATTAAATTGGTTAGGTTTATATAGCTACAAGTAAATGGCAATTTTGTTATTTTATATTTATTGAAATAATAATAGTACTAATGTTCTTTATTTTCTTAAAACCCTCGGTGAGATTTAAACTTTCCTGAATTTTCACCAACTCATTAACTTTTCGAAAATCTGTTTTTAGGCTTATTTGGCGTAAATTAATTGGATTTTTAAAATAATTTTCAAAATAAGCAAAAAAATCTAGTATTGAATATATTGCATAATTGTTTCTTTACGCTCATGAATACGAGTATAAAAAGATCTTATATATACATTTACATATGTACATATATCTAAAAATTAATACATACAAATATTCTAAATCACTTTCAATTTATTAAAATGATTGGCAATTTTAACTTAATATATACACAAAATTCAAATAACTAATTTAACTACTAACAAAACTAAAATTGCTTAATCATTAACTTAAATATTACATTAGATCACTAGTAATTTAATATAGAGCTCAAGGACGATATTATTTTTTTTCTCTTTTAAATATGAAATATCTAATTGGCAACTAATTAATTACGAAAATGTTAGCTTGCAAAATATTTATAGTTTATTCTGTACAGCCAAAAGTTAAAACCTCTTAAGTTAAAAAATTATAATTGCAATAAAACAAGGTAATACAATAAAGTAAGACGTAAATTGATAAACAAGATAGAAATCAAAAATTGGACGAACTGTAAAAAAAATATTGTGTGTTAGTACGAGTATTACAAAAAAATTTGATGAAAATACTAGAAAAAAAATCTATCGTCTAGAATTATGCACAAAGAAATTAAACTAAAACTGAAAACAAAACCTTGAAAGAGAATTAAGTGCTTCCTACTGAATACGTGTTGGTTTCAAAATTTTCCGTATCTCTTTCTTATAAATTTTGCTAAAACTTTTTTTGACTTCAATAAGCATATAATCATAACAAGAATAAACTTATCTTGTGATCGTGTAGATTGGCTTTTTTCTAAACCTTTTCTTTAATTAAAAGTCTTCTTGGTGGTTGATGTTAATATTTTCAATTTCAGTCGATTTTTTATTATGACACAAGTTTTCAACTGTTTCTCTACTTATCAGATTATTATTCCCTTTCGATATAGTTTGCAATTACAAAGTTTTAACCTAGATAACAGACAATATCCCTCTCCGTTCTAAAAAATTAAACAAGAAAATGATTTCTAACTCAAATCAATAAAATTGAAAAAAAAATCGATGATTTTTTTTCTTCCTTTTCCATTAGCAACGAAATGATGTTGAAGAAGGAATAATAGCATAACAATAGGCTGAAAATCCAATTGGTCCATAAAAAATCATTTCAATTTTCAAAAAAAAAAAATAAAAACCAATAAAGAAATGAAAAAAATTACTTTACTTAAATTAAAGTTTTCCTGCTATTGAAATTTTCTTGGAATTTTCTGTTTTTTCTACACAAAAATAAAATCAATTTCTAATGCTAATAATGAAATTAAATAAAAAGTAGCTAGAATGAAAATGAAAGAAAAATGTAAAAGAAATACAAAAAAAAAAGAATAGAAAGGAAAAGACTAATAGGAAAAAATAGATGAAAAAACGGGAAGACTATTTGTGAAATCAGTCATTTTTACATACACAGCGTAGAAATCAATGACGTGGATGTTTGCAATTCAAAACTGTGTGATACATTTTAGTCTATCACTGAATTAGAATGCTTTTTAGATACATCAATTTTATAAGTTTAATTGAAAATTAATTTATTATATAAGAGTTTGTTAAATTTTTCCAGGTTACCTAAATTAATATTAAAATATTTATTTAAGCGAACTAGCTCCACACACAGGGAGCGATAAATCAAATTATCATTTGCGTTACATCCATGAGTTAAATCCATGTTGATTAATGCAATATTAGATTTGAAAGTTTAAATTAAAACTGATGTTGCAAAAAATTTTTATTGTTTCAATATTTTTAAGATCAACTCAGTTAATAGTTATGCAGATTTTTTAATTTCAACAAAATTGAAGAAAACAAATTTTCTTTAAGTAAATATTTCAAAACTTTAATTGAATTTCTACGATAGGTACTTCAAAAAATAATTGAAAGAAATAATATTATAATTGTATTATTCGAATAATTATAAATTTTGAGAAAAATAAATTGGAAATTCCGAAACAAGACAATTGTTTTAAAACTGAAAGAACGGTGAAAAATTATCCTCTGTGGTACTTGTTTTATAAATATATCGTTAAGGTACATTTGATAAAGACGTTTGCTCATGAATTTAATCGGCGATAGTTAGAATCAAATTTTGATTTTGATATTTCCTTCCAATAACCGCAAATTGAAAAAGATTATAACAATCCTTTTTTGTTCACTATACATAAAAGTTATTTTAGAAAATTTTTTTGGGCCAAAATAAAAAAGTATTCAGTGTTCAATAGTTTTACTGTCTTATTCATTTATATTTGAATTTATATTATTATTATTTTATTATATTGTTATCATATTGTTAGAAGAATTGCTTATACAAAGCAACTGTTGAATCTTGTTGAAGCAAGA